TCTCAATAGATGCAGAAAAAGGACTTGATAAAATTCAACATCAATTTGTAATCAAAATGATCAACAAAGTAGGTATAGAGGGAACATAACATAATAAAGGCCATGTATGACAAGCCCACAGCTAACATCATACTCAAACGTGAAAAACTGAAAGCTTTTCCTCTAATATCAGGAACATGACAAGGATGCCCACTCTTACCACTTTTATTCAACGTAGTACTGGAAGTCTCACCCAAAGCAATTAGTCAAGAAAACAGAAATAAAAGGCATCCAAATTGGAAAGAAGTAGAATTGTCTCTAAAGGTAGATAACATGATATTATATATATATATAAACCCTAAAGACTCCACCAAAAACCTGTTAGAATAAACAAATTCAGTAAAGTTGCAGGATACAAAAATCAATGCAAAAATCTGTTGCTTTTCTATACACTACCAATGAACTATCAGAAAGAGAAATTAAGAAATTAACGTCATTTACAATTGCATCAACAAGAATAAAATACCTAGGAATAAATTTAACCAAGGAGGTGAAAGACGTGTACACTGAAAACTATAAGACACTGATAAAAGAAACTGAAGAAGACACATAAATGAAAAGATATTCTGTGCTCATGGATCAGAAGAATTAATATTTTTTTTTTTTTTTTTTTTTTTTTGTGAGGAGATCAGCCCTGTGCTAACATCCACCAATCCTCCTCTTTTTTTGCTGAGGAAGACGGCCCTGGGCTAACATCTGTGCCCATCTTCCTCCACTTTATATGGGACGCCGCCACAGCATGGCCTGCCAAGCAGTGCGTCGGTGCACGCCCGGGATCCGAACCAGCGAACCCCGGGCAGCTGCAGGGGAGCGCGCGCACCTAACCGCTTGCGCCACCGGGCCGGCCCCTTAGAAGAATTAATATTGTTAAAATGTCCATACTACCCAAAGCAATCTACAGATTCAGTGCAATCTGTATCAAAAGTCCAACGGCATTTTTCACAGAAATAGAAAAAAAAAAATCTTAAAATTTGTATGGAACCACAAAAGACCCCAAATAGCAAAAGCAATCTTGAGAAAGAACAAAGCTAGAGGCATCACACTTCCTGATTTCAAACTATATTAGAAAGCGATAATAATCAAAACTGTATGGTATTGGCATGAAAACAGACACACAGGTCAATTGGGACAAAATAGAGAGCCCAGAAATAAACCCATACATATGGTCAATTAATTTATGACAAAGGAGCCAAGAATATACAACGGGAAAAGGATAGTCTCTTCAATAAATCGTTTGGGAAAACTGAACAGTCCACATGCAAAAGATTAAAACTGGACCACTGTCTTATACCATACACAAACATCAACTCAAAATGGATTAAAGACTTAAATGTAAGACCTGAAACCATAAAACTTCTGGAAGAAACATAGATGGTAAGCTCCTTGACATAGGTCTTGGTGATGATTTTTTGGATTTAACACCAAAAGCAAAGGCAACAAAACCAACAAACAAGTGGGCCTACATCAAACTAAAAAGCTTCTGCACAGCAAAGGAAACCATCAACAAAATGAAAAGGCAACCGATGGAATGGGAGAAAATATTTGCAAATTACATATCTGATAAGGGGTTAATATCCAAAATACATAAAGAATTCATACAACTCAATAGCAAAAAAACAATCCAATAAAATATGGTCAGAGGATCTGAATAGACATTTTCCCAAAGAAGATATACAGATGACCAAAGGTACATGAGAAGGTGCTCAACATCACTCATCATCAGGGAAATGCAAATCAAAACCACAATGAGCTCTCACCTCTCACCTGTTAGAATGGCTATTATCAAAAAGACTGGAAATAACAAGTGTGGGTGAGGATGTGGAGAAAAGAGAACCCTTGTGCACCATTGGTGGGAATGTAAATTATTGCAGCCATTATGGAAAACAGTATAGAGGATCCTCAAAAAATTAAAAATAGAACTACAATGTGATCCAGCAATTCCACTTCTGGGTACTGAACCCAAGGAAACAAAACACTATCTTGGAAAGATATCTGCACCCCTTGTTCATTTCAGCATTATTTATAATACCTAAGACAAGGAGCATTATTTATTCAGTCATAAAAAAGACGGACATCCTGCCATTTGTGACAACCATGCACGGACCTCGAGGGCATCATGCTGAGTGAAATAAGTCAGACAGGAAAAGACAAATACTGTATGATCTCACTTATATGTAGAATTTAAAAAAATGAAAAAAAAAAACCAAATTCATAGATACAGAGGACAGATGGAGGGGGTGGGGAGGGAGAAGGTGAGCAAAATGGGTGAAGATGGTCAAAAGGTACAAACTTCCAGTTATAAGATACATAAGTCCTGGGGATGTAATGCACAGCATGGTGACTACAGTCAAAAAAACAAAAGAAAGAACAGACACAGCCCCCCGCCCCACACAATTCCACAATATTTAAATATAACAGAAAGCTTTTCTTTCTTGTACATAGTTTTTAAATAATTTTTTTTCTGATTATACAAGAATGCATGCTCATTGTAGAAAATTTTAAAAGTACAAAAGTATATACATCCAAAAAATTAAGCAAAAACCACCCCTAATACTGCCACGTACTTGAGACATGCCCCGCGTCCTGAGCCTGAGTCTTGTCCGCTGCGGAACAGGCCTTCCTCCCAGTGGGGAGCCCAGCTGGGCACAGACCCCATCGGCCTCTGGAGGTGCGTCCAAATCCCAGCTCCTGTGCAGACCCCTTCCTGAGATTCTCCACCCCCGGTGCCCTGCCTCCCGCCCCCTTCTGGCAGGGGCGCCCCGGGCCGAGTCCTGGGGACCCAGCTCCGGGCTGCCCACTCACCGGCGTATCAGGTCGGGTCAGCTTGTGCACAAGCCCCCGGCCCTCCATCCCCTTCCACCTGGGCTCTGCGGTCTGGCCGCCGCCTGCCGGTGGTCTGCGCGCAGCGGGCACGGGTCTCCGCCCGGCGCCTCGGGCCACCCCTGCCTGTCTGCCCTGGGCCCCCACGCATCCAACGCCCGGGCCCCGTCTTCGGCCGCTGTCCTGCCGCCCCTACTCTGAGAACCGCGGCGCGGAGAGACGGGGGCGACCCTGCAGGGGCCACCAAGCGGGCGGGGGCTCAAAGAGCAGGCTACACCTGGCCCGAGCTCTACATCCAGCACCCTCGTTCGGGGTCCAGTTTCACGTGCCTTCGGTGATAGAAACGACCGAGCCCCACTTCTCAAATGGGAGACCAGAAAGAGACAACTGAGACTTCCTGTAGGGGGCAGAGACGTTTCCCGCCCCTGCCCTCCTGGTGGGAGCTGCGGTTTCCACTCAGCCCCCTCATATGCCTTGTCTGCAAGCTGCTCAGCCCCTGGAAGGAAGGCGAGACTGGGAGTTGACCTTAGACCCAGGTTCTCCCCATTTGCTAGCTGCAAAAACCTAAGTTACTTAACCTCCTGGGCTCAGATTGCTCCTGGGTTTACTCATTGCTGAGGATTAAATAAAATCATCCACATAAAACCTAATACAACGCAGGTGCTGGGTGAACATTAGTGAACAGATGAGACCAACGTTTTCCTAAAATTAAATCCCAGGAGGATTTTATGTTGGAAATCCTTACAAGAAACACCGCACAACATAATGGAAATGTGTCCTAGTGCCATTTCAGAAAAGATGTGGAAGCATCCTTCACGCCATTGTGCTTCTTACTGAAATCGCATATCCAGTGATAAATCTTCAAGGGCAATTTAACAGACGCTAAAGTGACATAACTCAGTGAGACCCGAAGAGCCTCTTATAGCGGCTGCTGCTGTTTATTCTACGTGCATCACGATCTTCACACGGCCACGGTCTTACTGTGTTAGAGGTCTCTAACAGATAGGACCACTGGCATTCATTTTTCTAACTTACTGCAGATTTCCTGAAAGTTCTCATCCAGGGAAAGGGAAGACAGACCCCTTGACACCTGGTGGTTTGAAACTATTGCACTACGCAAATACAAATAGTGCTGTGCAGACGGGGAGAAGGATGACAGTGAGGAAACCAGCCACCCCTCACAGCCCCTCTTTCCTCTTCTCATCCCACTCATAACTCATCAATGGTTCCTCAGTCCCAGTCTCTCTCCGTGGCTGAGCTGCTGGCTTGGGTCACACGGGAGGGAGCCCAGGCTCTGACGCTCGTGACTAGGTCAGTGGAAGAAGTCCTTGCGGCTGCGCCCTGGAGCACAGCACAGCTCTCCCACTTGAAGCTCAGGCATCAATTGGGTCCCGTGTCGCTAAGCATGGTGATCACATTTCCAGAAAGTAACACAAATGGCTGCAGAAACCTTAGCCGCTTCTTTTTTTCTAATACTCGCAGTAAAATAGCAAGTCATCTGGTGTATACTCCCGAAGTTGTCTTAAACTGCATTCCTGTGAACAGAACCTGTCTAATCATCTCTGGCCTTTGCTAGCAATTTTAAATTTTCAGGGAAAGTGGATCCTTGTGCATTTGAACAGGTATGTGACCACAGATCCCCATGAACGCAAACTACGATAAGAGCAGAAACACACAGGGGAAATGGGACTGATTTCTCATGGGTCTGAGTTAACTGGTCTCCCTGCCTCTGCGCTGGCTTCCGGCAAGCTCACAAGTTTTGGAATAGAGTTCCCCCTGAGTGTCTCTGAGACCTGCTCCCTACAGCTCCTTGTGGCCTCCCACTAGCAGTGCCACTGAGTAGAGGAGAGAGAGAGGCACCATTTATCCTCCTGGGCCTGGAGAAGAGCAACACAGCCAGCTGTGAGAGCCTCACTCTGCCCAAGGTGTAGACGAGGGGGGCTCGCATGGGTGTGAGGGTGGAGGGGACAGACGGCAGCTCTCAGAGCAGGGGATGTGCTAAGCAGCCAGTGCTGCCCCTGCCAAGGTGACCACAGACTCCCTGAATGGCAATTTCATATGCTAGAAAACACGTAACATGCGAACACACAAATACACAACAGCGCTGAACATGGTATTTCAAAGATAGGCCCTTTATTTTGAGATTGTCACCAAAGGTCACTTTGGGTTGCAGGCACACTGTGAAGCGTCAGAGGAAAAGGGGGTCGTTAGGAAACAGGAGAAGGGCTCCACACAGTGCCGACCATTTCCTTATGGGGAGAAGAATCGGCCACAGAATAGAATACTGTTGGTCTTGCTGTGCTGGATAAAGAAAAGGAAGGGGTGGTCAGCACAGAACCTGGGGATGATTCTTATACATCGCATCATCATGATGGCAGCAGTGGCAGCTGCGGCCTCTGTGCCTTCCTCGTTGACCTCCACAAAGGACCTATGTACGACCTTGGACAGATACAGGTCTCTCCTGGATGACATTCCAGAAAAGTCTGCCTTGGTCTGCTCGAAGGCATCAGTCATGCCCAGACTTCGAAGGACATCCTCCATGTCGTAATTCTCCTCCAGTTTAAATCTAGGGAGGAACACTTCCACCTCTTCTTCATCCATCATGTCTGGCCTCGTCCATTCTATGAATTTCTCATAAGTAAGTTCTTTTTCCACCTAGAAGAAGAGAGTTGAAGATGTAAGATCTAAGACGGTGCTGCTACGATGCGAACGCTCTACGCCATGCAGTATGAGATGGCAGTGGCGAGCAGGGATGCTAGCTCTAGAGCTAGTTCACTGGGAAGTGGGGAGAACTGCTAAGCAGCAGTTCAGACGTGATTCCCTTGCCATCACGGCACGATTACTGCTTAGCACTCGTTACCATTTTCAAATCAGTGTTTTCATCCGGAAGCATGATGATCATATTCAGCTCTTTGCCGACATAGGGAAGCATCAGAACTTTGGTGAATATTTCTCCTATGTAGGTCATTTTCAAGGTAGATTTCTTAAACATCATTTGCACAGGTTTCTCCTCATTCTGTAAAGGAAATGGATAAATATTAAGTTGAAACAAGACCCAGTTGACGCAAGGGACAAATGTGACAGAGCTGGCCACTCTGGGCCCCTAGACATACTCTCTTGGCTTCCAGAACACCACGTCAGCCCCCTCTTCTACTGGCTTATCTTCACTGCCTCACCCCCAAACCCTGGGGCACCCAGGGGTCAATCATGACGCTGCTTTGCCCTCGGTGATCTCATTCAGTCTCATGACTTTACATAGAATTCCCATATCTCCATCTCTAGCCCAGACCTCTTCCCCGGAATCTGGACTCATATTTTACTGCCTACCTGATACCTGCATCTGAACATAAAAGAGACCTCCAATGTCACACGTCACACTCGGCTCCTCGGGTTCCCTTCCAGGTCTGCTCCATCTACAAGTTCCCCCATCTCAGTTGACGATGATGCCATCCACCCCGTTGTCAAAACCCTGGCGTATCCTTGACCCCTGTCTTTCACACACCACATCTGACTCATTAGCAAATTATATTGGCTCTACCTTTAAAATACAACCAAAACCTGACCTGTTCCTCCACCTCCACTTCTGCCAGCCGAGCCCGGGGTCATCGCAACAACCCCCTCCGTGACTTCCCTGCTCCCGAGCTTTCCTCCCGCGGCTGTGCTCAGACACTGGCCGGAGGGGCCCAGCAAATCAAATCGTTACGTCAGGTCACGGCACTCTTCGGCTGCACACCCTTCCGTGGCGCCCCCTCTACTCCGAGGGAGTGAAAGCTGAAGTCCTTAAAGTGACCCATCATGGTGACAAGAGCTCACCATCCCCCGTGCCCTCTACTCCCATCTCCCTTTGCTCGTCTGCTGCAGTCACGTGGGCCCCTTGACGGTTCCCTGGGCAAACCAGGCTATTCCATCTCTGCCCAGTAAGCTCATCCCCCAGAACCTGGAGAGAACACCCCCTTGCCACATTCTAGTCTTCGCTCAGTGAAGACCCTACCCTGAAACTGCACCCTCAATTGTGCTCTTCCTCTGAGTCCTCTGAGTCACTCCCCCCATCTCATATGCTCCTCTTTTCTTCTTTATGCTTACTGTCTCTCCCCCAGAAAAACGTAAGCTTCATGAGAAGAGGGATGCTTTGCTGGTTTTGTACACACTGTAATAGCATCTAGCACGAAGCCTGGCACATCGTAGGCCCTCAACCCACATCTGCTGAATAAATGAATAAACAGCTAAAGGACAGGAGTAACTGAAAGGGCCGGGACAATTAACACATCTTACTAGAAAAAAACTGGATTTGTCACCAACGCATCCCTAGCCAGAACGTAAGAAAGGCCTGAGGACAGTGACCACAACCTACCCAACCGTCCTCCTCAGCTCCTGACTCCTGTGTAAGGTAAGACTAGCTCCTGTGAATTTACTGAACCCCGTGCGGCAGGCACAGCAGAAGGCAGGCTATAGTCTCCAGTTCTCTGGCATAGCACGTTACTCTGTATTAAACAGAAGAAACCAAAGACGTCTCTGTTTCAGCTTTTTGTCTGCGCCTCATCGAGGCTCACCTGAACTAGCCTCAGCCATGATGGCCCCCTGTCTTTACCACCTCACTCACCTCCTTGGCCAGCAATTGGCACACTTCTTCTGTTATGGGCCAGATAGTAAATATTTTCAGCTTTGTGAGCCATACAGTTTCTGTGACAACTACTCAACTCTGCAGTTGCAGCATGACGTATATAAACAAATAAGCATGGCTGTGTCCCAATAAAACTTTATTTTAAAAAAATAGGTAGTGGGCTGGCTTTGGCCTGCAGGCCATAGTTTGTTGACCCCTGTTAGGCAATCTCTCCCACTACACCTCCAGGGCCCAAAGACTCCAATCTTGTAATATATGAGGATCCAGAGTGACGTCAGCATCAAGGCACCACGTATTGCTCCCTTTTGTCTCCCCTTTGATTTACAACTAATGGGACATCTAGAACTGAAAAAAAAAGTGCCACTGCACAGCACACCAGGACACCTGAGGGATCCATCCATCTGTGCACCAAAAAGTGGGTGGATTGGATGGTAGAGGAGACAGCAGAGCGAGGGAAGTGGCAATGGAGCTGGTGGCAGCACAAAAGGCAGTGGCCAGTCTGGCAGCGAGCCAGCACAACCTATCTGGCAGAGGAGGTAGAGGGTAAAGATGGTGAGTTGGGGTCTGGCTGGCCATGCATGCTGCAGCTAGAGGGGCCAGGTGCTCTCTGAGGAGAGACTACAGTGACCTGGGGTAGAGAAAGGAAAGGGCAGTAGGCAGACAAAGAGAACTGAAGAAAAGCATCTCCTGCTCTCTTCCCCAGGAGGCAAGAAGACCATCCACAGCCTCTGGGACCAGCCCAATTTGAGGATCCTCCTAGCAGGCCATGGGCACACCCAAAGCCCCAGGTGCTAAGTACACACCTCCCCTGGCTCTGCCACCACCCTTTCCTTTTTTTTTCTGCATGTGCACCCAACCTGACCAGCTAAGAGAAACCAAAAACTTGGTGCTATAGTGCCACTTGCTGAAAAACAAAAGGAAGGCTCCTAACTACCAACCTGTTGAACTGTTGGAATCAAGGAAACAAAGCCTTTCCTAAATAAGATGTTTGCAACTTCAAATGTGGCAGCAGAGGCACTTCTCATCACATGCCATGAAAAAATCATGGTAATAACATATCATAAAATAAAATGACAATTTTCCAGCAACTGAACGAAAAGACACGGAATATTTCAATCTAACTTATAAAGAATTTAAAACAGCTGTGATGAAGAAATTCAACAAGCTACAAGAAAACTCAGAAATGTAATGATCTCAGGAATAAAATTAATGAACAGAAGGAGTGCTTTACCAAAGAGATTGAAATTCTGAAAAAGAACCAAACAGAAATTCTGGAGCTGAAGAACTTAACAAATGAGATAAAGAATACATTAGAACGCATTGGAAATAGAGCAGGTCAGATAGAAGAGAGAGGACAGAAACACTGAAATGATTCAGACGGAAGAGGAGAACTAAGATTTTTTAAACAGTGAGAGGAGCCCCTGCGCACAGTGAGGCTCTGGCGGGGGAAGGCACTGTTGGGGCCAATGGGCGAGTTACACGAGGGAAGTGGGTCAACAACATCCCACTGTTACAGGTGGGCTGGCTGGATTTTCCAGGTTCTTGTTTGGTGTCACAAAAGAATTTGTTAGCGAACACATGCAAGAAAGTTTTAAGCAGGAGTTTATTAGCAAAGTGAAAGTACACTCCAAGAGAGGGAGCAGGCAGGCTCAAGGTGAGCGCCCGCACTGGGGCTTGAGTAATTTTTAGGTTATATGGGTGGTAAAGGGGTATAGGAGGAGATTGAAGGGGTCCCTCCAATTGGCTTGTTGCCCACCCCCTCATGTCCAGAGGGGGAGTTTTTTCCCTTAGATGGTCCCTAGAAGATCTGTCATGGCATCTATACCCCACAAGGGGGGGGTCAAAACCACAATGTAAATTTATTATGATTTTAGTATAATGAAGGTGAGGTGGGTGAGGTCAGGGTGCAGCAGGGCGAAGCTAGCTATGTGTATGTACGGCTGCAGACAGGACATTGTGCGTGTGGACGGGGGCCCTCCGAGGAGGCTTCTTCTATTGTGGTTTGTCAGCTTTTACCCCTTCCTCTGCTCATGTGTGACTTACTACCTGCCTACAACACCAGTGCACACCCTGGTGGCCCGGGTACCCTCCTCTTCTGGGTGCTGTGAGGAGAGCTGAACCAATGGACTCACACCAGCAGCAAGGCACCACTACCGCCACCCCAGTCCAGCTGCCCTTGGCTTCAGTGCTCCCACCATGGGGGCCTGGGTTCCTCAGCACACCCAGATCCAGAAGCCCCCAGAGCCTGTCCCCATCCTTTCAAAAGCCCCAGCACCACTCATGGCTCTTAAAAAAAAAAAAGTGAAGAAACCCTACGAGAACTATCTGACTCCGTTAGAAGAGCCAATGTAAGAACAATAGGTATCCCATAAGGATAAAAGAGGGATAAGGGAGCAGAAAGCATATTTAAAGAAATAATAGCTGAGAACTTCCCAAACCTGGGGAAGGAACTGGATACACAAGTACATGTAGCTAATAGAACTCCTAATTATCTCAATGCAAAAAGACCTCCTCCAAAGCACATTATATTAAAATTGTCAAAAGCCAATGATAAAGAAAGAATTTTAAAGACAGCCAGGGAAAAAAAGGCAGTAACCTACAAAGGTACCCCCATTAGGCTATCAGATTTCTCAGCAGAAACTGTACAGGCCAGGAGAAAGTAGAATGACATATTCAAAATACTGAAACATAAAAACTGCCATCCAAGAATACTCTATCCAGCAAAGTCATCCTTCAGATATGGAGAAATAAAGGCTTTCCCAGACAAACAAAAGCTGAAGGAGCTCATCACCACCAGACCTGCCCTACAAGAAATGTTGAAAGGAGCTTGTCAAGCTGAAACAAAAAGAAAAAAGTATGTGAAACTCTGATTAAGGTGATAAATAGTCCGAATTAGAATAGTGTAATTCTTTTTTAGAATAGTAATATTAAACTATTAACTATAGCATAAAGGTTAAAAGAAAAGGGCATTAAAAATAACTATAGCTACTACAACTTGGTAACAAAATCATAGCACAAAAAGAGATAATTTGTGACATCAAAAATATAAAAGGGGAAGAGTAAAAGGATAGGACCTGTATAAGTGAATAAAGATAAATTGCTATTGGCAGAAAAAGGACTATTTTATCTATGAGATGTTTCATGTAAACCTCATGGTAACCACAAAGCAAAAATCTAGAGCAGAGACACAAAACATAAAAAAAAGGGGAGACTGAGCAAACAACCAATGAAAACCATGAACTTACATAGGTAGGTAGAAATAGAAGGAAAAAAAAACAATAGACAGATAAAATAACTAGAAAGAAAAAGATAAAATGGCAGTAGTAAGTCCTAACATATCAGTAATCACCACAAATGGAAATGGATTGAACTCACCAATCAAAAGGCACAGAGTG